TGTGTGTGTGTGTGTGTGTGTGTGTGTGTGTGTGTGTGTGTGTGTGTGTGTGTGTGTGTGTGTGTGTGTGTGTGTGTGTGTGTGTGTGTGTGTGTGTCTAATCCGAAGGGGTACCTCCTGCAACAATAAGAGTGGCGGTTCCGTTCAACGAACCACACAAACCTCTATCGAGTTATCGATTCCGAGACGGCATGTAGGGTTGGTGGCATGAAACTTATTCGAGCTGAAAGTTCAATAATTGTTCAATCTTGCTCAACATCGGCGTGTATGGCGCCCCCCAGCGCACTATAATTGGAAGGCACAATTCACATGTAGGCCGCTTTAGCGCGAGAATTAATCGAGACTAATCCCCTTCCCTCCCCGATCGCGGACACTTCAAAAGTCATTTGCAGCTCGGATGTTCGGGAGCTGCTCGAGCTCTCGTTCGCAGATAAGACTCGCCGGGGATTCGGACTCGGGCGCAGTGACAGAACTTACGTAGGGATTGCCACTCGTCTGTGTACATAGAGAGGCTGCTCGATAACGACTCGAAATTCAGTTTTGCGTCATATTATGCGCGTGCTAAAGTGGGGATCGCCGTCGTTAGTGCCGTGCCTCGCCAAAGGGTGTGACTTCGTTTTGCGTCACTCAAAGGGCATCCCTCGCGCTAATTAATACCGGGAGGAAAGTTTGTCGAGATTAGGCCAACGAGAAATTCGCAGAAAGCTGCCTGCACAAACTCGAAATCGACCGTGACAATTTGTAACATTTGTTAATTATCAAATATAAAAATATTAATTACACTATCTGTTAATTTAGTTTTTTAAAAAGCTCCCGCCGAGACCGCGCGAGAATAAATATACTTGTAAAACGAATGGAGAATATAAAAAAAACATAAACAATAAATGATACACATGATTCCGAAGTGGTTAACATTGCGCATATAAAACGTATTTATTCCTAATAATTAAAAGCCAATTTTTTGTAGGCGATTGTTTATCGTATCGAGATTTTGCGGAAATATACGTTCTATTAAATCTGTTTTTTACGTTTTATTCTTTTTACACACTGTCATGTCACTCTCTTAACGTCATCAGGGAAACGGGAAACGGCAAACAACGCCTTCGAAGATTCGAATTCAGTCGCCAACTCCAAAAAGACGCAAATCTTAAGATCGATTTCTACTTCTTTAAAAACTTTTTCATTCGCCTCTCGACTCAATTGAGATGAAACTCCAGTAACTTCAATGTCTTTTATCACCACAAGATTATGAAGCTATATTAGAATGAAAATCGCAATATATGTAGTACCTTTTCGATAAAAAGATTTAACTTTTCTCTGTCCGCATTAATTTATGCATAAATTTAAAAAAAATATATAAAACGATATTCCATTCATATCAAATATTATTTTTTAATTGCGATGAATTTCGATGATTGCGAGACAGACGACGTCAATCAATCTCACATTTCGTTATAAAGTAATCGCGATAAGGAGACACCTAGAAGGGATATCTCGAAAATTCCGTCTCTTTCCTCTCTTTTCTTTCTCTCCGACTATAGCTGCTATATTTAAAATGGCATTTAGTATGGCAATTGCGAAATTGTGCGGGATAAATCGAACGGTCTCATCTCTCACACGCGATAAAATATTCGTTAATCCGAACGCGATCTGGCACTTAATATCGCAGCGACGAATCTATTATTTGGCGAACACACTTGCATAATACCTACGTGCCTGGCCTTACCATCTGCTCTTCTCATATTTCGCTCATATGACGGGCGTACGTATCAACCCTCGTGTGACCAAGTAGAAAATGGCACGCGATACAAATGCACTACAATGCATTCCCTAATGAGAAATACCCGCGCAGTAATGGAACGTGTATAGAAGAAGTACGATTCGAAGAAGAGATAGACAATTAATTAACGGGGTTTAATTTATTGCGAGGGAATTTAGAAAATGATGAGTGATGGATGAGAAGTACGATTATATTAATATTCCATTTTTTTCCTTTTATAATTTTATTAATAATATTCTCCTTCCATATCTTTTTTCAACGAAGCTTATTTAATCTATCAATCGGACAACTGACGATTTATTTATTTTTATTGAGCGCTCAATAAAATAACAAGCGGCACATATTTCTCAGTGAAAAAAAAGGATAAGAAAGTAAAAAAAATAAGGTTAAAATTTGCCGAAAGCGAGTCCTCGAAGGATCACGATAAGAATTCCTTCAAAGTGCTAGATAAAAGTGCTAGATAAAAGTGTTGATGTTTCCCAGAGGGAGATAAATTCGCAGTAGAGCAATAGTAATGAAGAATACAGATCACTATCAAAAAAAAAAAAAAACTTTCGGAAAGATTCCTCACATTCTACTTTTATATTCTACTTTCATGTCTTACAAAGTGATGTAACGGCGCCCACGTGTCACGCATGGCCGAGCAACACGGGCGGCCGGCGATATAATGCGCGCTCGAGCCTATTTCAGCGGGCCAATAATCGATCGATTTCGGGAATTAAACGTAATGGATGCCGCGCGAGAAGGGGGAAGGGGAAAGGTGGAGGCGACGAGGATTCGTGCCCTCTCTGTGGTCGCGCGTTCGCGTTCCTTTCAACTTCCCTTTTAACATCCACCAATCCTGCGCGGCTTCTCTCCGCGCGGCGGTTTTTTTTCCCTCTAATGTGTACGAGAGAAGCGAGCACTCTTCAGCTCTTATTTTTAACCCGCCGCTTCTTCCTTTTGTTTCGCCTGTTTTTCTCACCAAGGCCTGTGCCGCCGTTCTTGCCTTGCCCGCCGCAAATCCCATGCGTCGATTAACCCTTTTGCGCGATGGCCGGCTGTGTTGCTGATACCAACAAATAAGAAGCGATCGAAAAATTAATCCTATCCTCGTCAATACCAATTTTATAAGACGCACATCTGTTCTCGCGCTTTCTCTCGCTTCTAATTAAAATGTTCTATTTTATTTGTATAACGTATTATGCACTTTTTTATTTTGTTATATTATTCGCTTTGTAAAATCTATACGTTCTGTAAAATTATAATAAATCCTACTTTCTCACTTCCATTTCGATTGTCATTTTTCGATTCATTTCACTTCATTTTCGATTGTCAATTTTGTTAATCCTCCCTAACCGATTATTCAAAAGAACCGCGTGGAGTAAGAAAAGTTTCGGGGAGCTGTAGCGTTTCTTGTAGCATAACTAATTAATTTCGTGTAATGAGTTGGTCAAAGTTTCGAAATTTGGGAAAGAATTGCGTAACTCTCTTGCTGTGCAGCGTCTAATTAACTGTGCCTGGGTAAATTCCGGGAAAAAAAGAAGAGAGCAACAGGTTACGCAATGCCGCGTTCTGTGTGAATTAAAAAAAAATATTACGTCCGAGTCCCCGGAAGGAAATATCGGTGCGCGTCGACACCCCTTTCACCCCCCCCCTCCCAATACGGTTAATGGCGATCACGTTCACGTCGTAACTCGCCGTAATCCAACTGCAACCGCGACACTCGTGCTTTAAATGTTTAACGAAGACATTCGCGTACGTGCGCTCGAAACATTGTCCTCTCGTCGTCCTGTGCGTTTCTAATTGCAACCCGCCCGCCATTTGTTTCCGCCGCTCGTTTTAATTGCCTCCTCGTTGACGTCCCTGCGAGCGAACGTGTCGCAGGGGACACAGTCGAAATTGCGAAAGTGTCTTATCGTCCTGACGCTTATCAATCGTGGCCTCCCCGAGACGCCGAGGCCGACAGCGCGAGGAGAGCCTTTCTATTTGTTAACTTCCCTCAAAGGCTCTTTTAGTGGCGATCGATCTACTACGCCAGTGCACCCTCCCTTCATATTTTTCACGGCGACTTCTCCTCTGGTGTTGCAGGAGAAGATAGAGTACGTTTTTCTTGTGATTTTTACGGTGGAGTGCGTGATGAAGATCATAGCTTACGGCTTCGTCGCGCATCCAGGAGCTTACCTCCGCAACGGCTGGAACTTGCTGGATTTCACGATAGTCGTGATTGGGTGAGTACGTCAACCTTGAAACACACTACACACTACATACGTTTGCATCCCTTTCTGTCTATAAATGGAATTAGGCTTTTTTGGGGCTGACTTTAATACACCAGAACCGAAATAGATTCGTGATATAGTCTCCTTTTCGACAGAGTTAAATAATCTTTTTTTTTGGTTCAAACAAGATCTACAATGTTTACAGGTCTACAACTAAATTTGTTTAAACTTTTATTGGTTAATTTTGAGAAAATTTAATCAATATTGAATTAACGGGAGAAAGAGATAGCTTTCGACTCCAAAGATCGAAAATTATATGTCTCTTGAATTTATTTAATAAATTCTAAAATTAAAAGATTAACAGATGCTAAAAATCCCGCCCGACTTTTTAATTAAATTATTAATAGTATAAATTTTAACATTAAATTATAACAAAATCGAGTAATGTAAATAAAACTTTTTCTACATGTTTATTCTCGTATTTCCGGAGAGATATTAACCACCTTCGGTAGTCCCACCTCAGATTTATCTTCCCATCTGTATTTTCTAATGAATGGGGAGAAAATCACCCTGTCCTTGTAGGACCGTAATACCTACAACGTCTCGTTTTAATAATAACTATTTTTCCCCGAATTCGAGTGGAATCTGGTGGGCGAGTATTGACGAAGATAGCAGCTGATGATATAGCAGCTGTATCGATTCAAGTTAATTGGACCGAATGCCGACGTAATCGATAATGCGTGGCGATCATATACACTTCGGTAGCGGATAGTTTGCACCTGGTGATATCTTCCCAGTGCACATATTGTCGGTGACGTTCACTGGTGAACGCCAAGACGCGGAGCGATAAGTGATGCAACTCGAGTTTGACGTTCCTTGTCGTAGATACAGCATTGAACATAACGGACAGACGCGTTACACCACCCGCGGAATCTAATATACCGTTTGATTATAATTATAAATGAATATTATGATGCGCAGAACAAAATGAATAAAACGAATATCGCCGCTGTTTGTCACAATAATGTAGGAAGGCTTTTATCAACGGACCTTTAATATTTATGGGAGTTAAAAGCGAGCCTCATAAATAATAAAGCCCCTTCGCATTCGCTCTATTATATATCGATTGTACCGGGGGCACCTGAGCGAAACTGTTCTTCGCGAAGTTAGTTGTATTTTCGTGTTTTCGTGTAGTATATTAAAAAAAAAAAAAAAAGCGAACTGAAAATTGTGAAGCTCGCGCGCCGCACGAGACAAACACCGCGCGTCGTATTTATTTCGCGTAAAAAACGACGGGAGCGGGAGAGTAGCGTCTAAAGCTGCGGGAATAAAATTGATTTAAGCGCCGAGCTTTTTACGAACCGAGTCGGTCCGGCCGTGTATTTCGCCAAGCGTAAATAAAGTGAAATTGACGGCGCGCAAACGAGAGCGAAGACGACGGCGGCGCCGGAAGGAAGGAAATATTACACGGAAATTTCTTCCTCGTCGGCGGCCCCCGAATTATCGCAAAGGCCACGTAATGGCTGGGAAATCGGCGGTACATAATCCCGTGCGCTCGCGCACGCGTTCCACCTCCAACCGGCTGGCATAATGTCGCGGCTCATGCGTGTAAATTAAATCCCGTGTACAACGCGGGAATCGGGAATTGAAATTTTACGAGTGCCGCTTACGTCGATAATGCCCCAATAGGTCTGACACTTTTCGCGTGGTTTCGAACGCCCCCAACTCTCACCACCAATTAGTACTTCGCGGATTGCTTCTACACTGTGGAATTTACATTGTTAACACGCGCACACCGTTATACGCCGCTAATTATCGCTGGAAATTTTACGAAATGACGCTTTGCCTTCTTGAAAATAATGAAAATAACGCCATTACCCCTCCTCGACGTGGAAAAAAGAGGAAGAGAGAAAAAGGATTGCGGAAGCTGCGTTGACGAAGGGTATCAAAAATCATTAAACGCGATTACAAAACATTCGTTGCCATGCGTTACTGTACAAGCCAATTGGACGTCGACGCGGGGAAGGGGGGAAGAGGGATTCCGGCACTCCTTTACGCAATTATTACTATTACGATACTACCCGTGGCATGCTATATATAATAATGGTACCCTATTTACGCGAGATCATTGATTTTTTTATGGAATAAAGGGAAGCCCACGTACGCGCGTGTAAGACACCAAGGAGTTTGATAAACAGAGCATATCGGCCAACCCTTCGTTGTTTTCCCAGTTAATGATCCGCGACGCGAGTTTATTTCCGCCAGCGAAATCCACCCCGAATCACGGCGGGCTCGAATCGACAGGCGTAATTACCTGTTTCGGAAACGGGCGTTTCACATACACTTCGGCTTCCTCGTCGTTCGATAATTTCATCGTTGTCGGTTAACGACACGGCGAATCGATCCGTCTTAATGTCCCACGAGGGAGAACATGCGGCACATCCATCCTTCCCCTCCCCCTCCCCTTCGAATCGACCATTACGTGGGGGGGCCATTATTCAAATGACACGGAGTCTAATGTACGTGGAAAAGGCAGCCGCCGATAATATTGGAAATTGTCTCGTCGGATTCGATCGTTTCCTTCTGGTCGACGATTCACCCTTCATCTCGGCTCGTTTACGATAACGTTGCGTCTGCGCGATATAGAAAAATTTGCACGCGCCGGAGACAAAAAGATACCGTATTTTCTCCTTCTTAACGGGAAAGTCTCGTTTGCTGACGGGAAAATTTTTCTTTTTCCTCCTCCCCATCCTTTTTTACGTGTTCTCATAAATGTTCTCGTAAATGCCGCCACACGGTGTTTATAGTGCTATTAGCCTTGATACATAAAGCTCTTTTCTTCAGGAACAAATTACGTCCCGGGAAAATGACTTTTGCAGCCTTTACTATCAGGTCTCCATTTTATCGTCGAGTCATTAATCCTCGTCTGTTGCATGGAAACATTTTTTGCGTTCCTCCTTGCAGAATGATAAGCACGGTGCTGACGATACTCATGAAGGAGGGCTTTGACGTCAAGGCCTTAAGGGCGTTTCGTGTTCTGCGTCCTCTCAGGCTGGTTTCCGGTGTTCCAAGTAAGATGTTCCGTTCAAAATATATACCGATATAAAGTAATTGAACTTTTTTCATTTACGCAAGATAAGGGAGATTAAAAATTCATTAAAGATCAGGTTATTAAAATATATAAATGTTAATAAAATCATACAGTCATTTTTTCGCTCGAATGTATTATTTAAAAAATTAATGCTAGTAATAATTATATAATTGATAGAGATAAATTCATCTGTCTAGGTCTTCAAGTGGTCCTAAACTCTATTTTGAGGGCGATGGTACCACTTTTGCACATTGCTTTATTAGTTCTCTTCGTCATCATCATTTACGCCATCATCGGCCTCGAGCTGTTTTCCGGAAAGATGCACAGAACGTGCAGGCACAACATAACTGGTAAGTGCGTGTTTCAGGAATTCTCCGAGAAAAATTTTACGGACAATATGCCTGACAACAACGTTCTTCCATCAAACATATCGCGAATCGATGCTTTTAAATTTTTATTATCTTCTGAACCTCTTGAAACTTGAAAAGAAATTTAATTTTGGTATTTTTAAAAATTAATTGTGCATTGCATTTAACGTGGTTCTATTAAATTCCTCTTAAAATTTAAGCTATAATTATTTTCTAAAACAAACATTTATCCTCGAAAGATTTTATATATATTTTAATAACATAGACAAGTACATGGGTAAAAATATTGTCACTTTATATGATGTGACTTTTCTAAGAAAAACTATGATCGTTTTTTCTTGTACATCTAAAAGATAATACTCGTTTATAATAATTTAAATAATTATGACATCTATTTACCTCAAGATCTTTTTATATTAATTGAAATTACAAGAAATTTATCCGCATTTGCTCGCCATCAGGTGGCCGTAAAGAGTTAATGAGAACGGCGATGCGAGATGTCGCGGGACAGGTTGAATTATTGGGCAATTCAGTAGTTATTTCTAAGCGTCATCTCTTGACGATTGAAAAAAAAAAAAAAATCGACTATGCGTCGGAGCCAGAGAGAAGAAGAATCTGACGGCAGCCCCGAGGGGAACTCCTGAGGCTTAGCCTCGAAACACACTTTTCGCCGGGACGGCTATTTTAGATATGATTCAACCGAGACATGGACGCGAAACTAACGTCTAATTATTATTAGCGCGAGAGGCGCGCGCGCGACTTGCGTGCCCCTCGCGCGACAAACAGCTGATTCACAGGAATGCGTAAAATAGCGTGCGGATGCCGTCGAGCCCGGGCGATGAGAGAGAGGGAGGGGGGGGGGAGAGAGGGAGAGAGAGAGAGAGAGAGAGAAAGAGAGTTCGCAATAAGAAAGAGAATTCGCAATCCTCATCAAAGTTTGCTCTTTTACACCCGGAACTTTCTAAATCTAAAACTTTCTAAGCCTTATCCGTCCTAGTTTTTATATCTGCACGCAGAAACCTTCCAAGTTTGATTTTAATCAGACAATTAGAAGCGACTGTCTTAGCTACGTAGAATTCATTTCAGCATTAATTACTTAATACTTCAGTTATACTTGTGTGTATATTACGTCATACCATTTTTATATATTTAGACAAAGCACGAAGAGATTAAGCACCAATGTTAATAATATTAATAATCAATTAGAATAATTACTTTAGTAAGTTAAAATTAATTTATATTAATTAATCAGTATTTTAGCTGCGCTCTACCAATATCTCTCTCTCTCTCTCTCTGTCCTATTTATGCGCCATTAATACGGGGGAAGCCAAATAGCTAACAATTATGTCTATTATTTTAATTTGATAAGAGATGCAGATACGTGAACTGCCACGCTGGCCTAACGTAATTTAGAGTTTAATGGTGCGGCGTATTTAAAAGAGCACCCCTTTAATCAATCTATGTAGGTACAATATCGGGGAAGAGGCCGATAAATCGTGCTGGTGAGAAAAGATACTAGTCTCCAGCCGCTTTGCACACAGGTACACGTAGAAAAATGTGCAAACATTTTAACGCGATACACGTCAAAGCCGTTCGCTCGACCGGCTCGAGCGAACCAATTAGAAGTTTGAAACACCGCGGAGTGTGCCGACCTTATTATCCCTCCGTGGTCGCCAGGGATTATCTAGCCAGGGATTAAAAGATTCGATTCCCCTTTATATCGCAGACGAGATGATGGACAATCCGGTACCCTGTGGCACAGGGGGCTACCAGTGCTCGCGAGTCGGACCCGACTTCCACTGCAGCAATAGGTTCTGGGAGGGCCCCAACTTCGGCATCACGAATTTCGACAACTTCGGACTGGCCATGCTCACGGTCTTCCAATGCGTCACCCTCGAGGGCTGGACGGATGTGCTTTATAACGTAAAGTCACTGCGCGCGTAAATGTTCACGCAACAATCATCAAATTCCGAACGAAAAGAAGCACCTTCCGATAGCGTCACGCTATTCACTTCTGTTCGTTCGTCGCACGTCGCCAATTTTATTTTATTTTTCTTTACCCGGTTATTCTATCTTTTTCTTTTTTTTGCAAAGACACACGCTAACTTTAAATAAGACGCGAAGAAATAAGAATTCTTCGGGAAGCTAAGTCTCTTTGTAATTGCGTTTTATCTAGATCGAGGATGCGATGGGAAGTTCGTGGCAGTGGATATACTTCATTTCGATGGTCATCCTTGGGGCTTTCTTCGTGATGAATCTAATTCTCGGTGTGTTGTCCGGGTAAGTGTCGAGAGAAACATTCTCTTCTACGGACGGCTTTCGTCGTGGAAAAAAAAGATAGAACGAAATTTGTAGCTCGCGATTCGTACTTGATTAAGTTAAGTCTCGCAAAATATCGTGAATAATAAGTTGAAAATCACAAACTTTGTCCATATAGATAAACGCGACATTTACCGATACAGGATAACAAGCTTTCGAATTTCCGCGATCCCTAGAGCGATCCTTGAAGGATCGCTCTAATCCGATGAAGCGGCTTATGACATCTATCCTGACGGAGTTCTGCAATCCTCGATAATAGGAGAGAGAGAGAGAGGGAGAGACGAGAATAAAAATATCTCTTTCTTAGGTTGATACACATATACACACGCACACACTCCATTGCGTATCGGTAAAGGATACATGGTCAATCGAGGCGTGAAAACGGTATCGATGACAAGCGCGATTTAACTTCCTTCCCTTTTTACGTTTTATCCGCCGCTGAACGCCGCGCGCACAAGCACTCTCATTATCAGAAGCATCGCAAAATGCACGTTTGAGATACATTTCTCTGCCCAAGATCACTGCTCGAGTCGTCAAAACGTCCACGAAACAGCGGAGCGTATGTTTCTCAATGTCTCGGGATTTGATAGAAAAATATCGCATAGTAATCAAAAAGCAGTCACAAATTTTGATGAATTTCGCGTGTCAAATTATCTTTAACTTAACGAGATGTAACATTTTACACGTCAAAATTTATATTTATAAAGAAAAAAATTTGATCGAGATAGAAGCGCACATTTCTCAATGCCTTGAAATTTGATAAAAAAAATATTGCATAATAATCACGCTGTAAAAATAATTCTGTTTAATCATTTCAAATTATTTTTAACTTATAATGAAATGTAACATTTTACATATCAAATTATTTTAAACTTATAATGAAATGTAACATTTTACATATCAAAATTCATATTGAAAAGGTATTTGATCGAGAGCACATGTTTTTCAATGTCTCGATTCGATTAAAAAAAGATTAAAAAAATCACGTTTCAAAAATAATTTTGGATGCATTTCAAATTATCTTTAACTTAACAAAGTACAATATTTTATATATTAAAATTCGTATTGAAATCGAAAAGAATTTGATCGAGATAAAAACGCATGTTTTTCAATACCTTGATTTGAATAAAAAAAAAAAATATCGCATAATAATAACGTTGCAAAAATAATTCTGTTTAATCGTGCGCTTCAAAAAAATGATTTTTTAATTTAACGAAAATATAACATTGGATGTAAAATCACGATCAAAATTCATATTGGAATTAGAAAGAGTTTTATCGAAATAGTCGTTCATCAAGAAGCGTCCCAGGATAATTAGATCCTTAGTGGCATCGCGGATCGCTACCATTCTGCATGTCATAACATAAAAGGAAAAAAACTGTGAACGTCAGAGGACAAACGTCGTCGCGTTTCGCTGGATGTCTCTCGATACGAATAGACACGCATTTACACCGCGTTCGTTCTCGTTCGAGCGAGATCGAAGAGGCGCGGGCAAATAAAGAAGATCCTTTTCACGCCCGCCTCGATTTCCGTTTCATTGCCTTTGAATGTTCCAATTACGCGGCGTCTCTCGCGCCGTACCTCTAATCACGACGCGACGCGATTGTACATGCACTTGTCCCGCTTTGGTGCAGTGAATTTTCCAAGGAGAGAGAGAAGGCGAAGGCGCGTGGTGACTTTCACAAGCTTAGGGAGAAACAGCAGATTGAGGACGATCTCAGGGGTTACCTCGACTGGATAACGCAGGCCGAGGACATCGAGCCGGAAACCGACGAGCCGAAGATGCAAGATGGAAAAAGTATGTATGCGCGAAAAGAGAGAGAGAGAGAGAGAGAGAGAGAGAGAGAGAGAGAGAGA